TGACCGGGAATTGAACTGTGACCTCCTGGGTCATAGGTCAACACAACCGCGGAGCAATACTGACCGGGCCGAGATGAAAATTGTACCCTTGAAATTTTATAAAAACACTGTGACAGCCGAAACCGGTTTGGCTCAGTGGATAGAGCGTCGGCCTGCGGACTGAAAGGTCCCAGGTTCGATTCCGGTCAAGGGCATGTACCTTGGTTGCGGGCACATCCCCAGTGGGGGGTGTGCAGGAGACAGCTGATCAATGTTTCTCTCTCATTGATGTTTCTAGCTCTCTATCCCTCTCTCTTCCTCTCTGTTAAAAAAAAAAAAATCAATAAAATATATATTTAAAAAACAGAAAAACAAAAAAACACTGTGACAAATAAGTGCCCATATAAATCCATATGTAATCCTTTATAAGACCTTATTTTGATTTGGAACATAGGGCAGGATATATATATATATTTTAATAAATAATTTTTAACCAAGGCATTATCTGCTCTTTTTGAAGAAAAAAGTAAAGAGTAGATACAGTTTAGTGAAATAGAAAAAAATTCTAAAAATCTCCATGGCCTTTCCCCCCGCAAAAGGCAGTAGCCACTGGGCTGCATGGTCCTCCAGACCCTTTCCCGGGACATATTCTAGTCCTTTAAAATGCACGCTGCCACCGCAGCATTGCCAGACTTTTCAGTGGGATCATTGAATCGCCCCCAGCGGCTTTTCCTGTCACTGTGGGTTTCGGTTTCCCGGCCCTGTGGGCAGTTAGGGTGTGCCCATCATACACAACCCACAGAGGACATTGTGGCCACATCCTCTGCCACTGTCTTAGGACGTGTTCCTGGGCATGGGGTTTGTAGTCCAGAGAGCGTGCACCTGTTCTTTTTTAAAAAATATATATATATATTTCATTGATTTTTTACAGAGAGGAAGAGAGAGGGATAGATAGTTAGAAACATCGATGAGAGAGAATCGTCGATCAGCTGCCTCCTGCACACCCTCTACTGGGGATGTGCCCGCAACCAAGGTACATGCCCCTGACCGGCATCGAACCCGGGACCCCTCAGTCAGCAAGCCGACGCTCTGTCCACTGAGCCACACCGGTTTCAGCGCGTGCACCTGTTCTTTAGGAAGGCCTGGGGATCGTGTGGCCGGAGGGCTCCCGGGAGGAGGGCTGGGTGCAGCTTACACCCGCCCTGAGCTGGGGAGCATGGAGTTCTGCTGAAACCTCAGATGAGCCGGTGCCGGTGCAGGAGCTGGTGCCTGGCGCCCTGCACAGGAGTCCCTGGGAGACAATTGAGACTCAGGCCCCTGGCTTGGGCGGGAAGCCAGCTGCTGGGCACGGCTGGGGGCCTGCGTGTTGTGTGGCTGCCCTACCATGACATCCTGTCGCCATGGCAGCAGGGCCCGTGGCTCCCAGGAAATTGTGTGTCATCCTTAGACTCTGGTCCTGCCGCTGAGAGGAGGCAGTTCCCGGTGCGCTGGTTGCTAGGCAGGGGTTACCCTGGCCCCGCCCTGTGGTTCAAGCAAAGCAAAGCCCAAAGAAGCCCAGTTTGACCCCGGAGGAGTCACGGGAGATGCCGTGGGGAGAGGGGGGCAGGGAGGCTCCCTCTGAGAGGAGGCCCTGTCCTCTGCACGGCACGGAGACAGGAGGACTTGCGTGAGGGGTCCGGGCCGCTGTTCCTGCGTGTCTGTGTGAGCGTCATGTCATGACATGCGTGAAGGAAAGGAGGGAAGAGACCTGTGAACACAGTCTGGAGTCGTGAACGTTGTCACCCTGAAAGCAGAGTCCCGACCCAGTGACAGAGCTGTTTGGCCTGGCCAGCGTGGCTCAGTGGTTAAGCTCCGACCTATGAACCAGGAGGTCATGGTTTGATTCCCAGTTAGGACACATGCCCAGATTGTGGGCTTGATCCCCATAGGGGGCTGTGCAGGAGGCAGCCGATCAATGACTCTATCCCTCCCTCCCTGTCCCTTCCTCTCTGAAATCAATAAAAGCATATATATTTAAAAGAGCCACCGGAACCCCGGTGAGCTGAGAAAGTACCTTGCACTCAGGTCCGGCTTGCAGGCTCACAGACTGTCCCCATGTGTTTGGGCGGCGGAGGGGGCACGCTGTCCTGTCGCCAGCGGTGGCTTTTTTTGTGCTTTATTGTAGATGATCTCGTCTCTGCAGGAGAGCCGGGCTCTGCCTTCGCTTGCAGAGTCTGCACACTGATTGCTGATGGAGAGAGAGGGTTAGGATTTGGGTTGAAATCCAGTACAGCTGGTGAAGGTGACCAGGCACACGCCCTGTGATCCACATCCTGGTCCAGTCTCACATCTGGTATGCACTCTGGACCAGGACTCCCCAGTCTTAGTGTGCACGGGGGTCACTGAGGAGCTTGAGGAAGTGCACACCCTGATTCAGCAGGTCCAGGGGCACCCAAGACTCTGCATTTCTTTCCTTTTAAGCATATATTTGTATTGATTTCAGAGAGGAAGGGAGAGAGAGAGAGAAACGTCAACGAGGAGAGAGAATCATTGATCAGCTGCCTCCCGTATGCCCCCTACTGGGGATTGAGCCCGAAACCCAGGCAGGTGCCTTGACTGGGAATTGAACCTGGGACCCTTCAGTCTACAGGCCAGTGCTCTACCCACTGAACCAAACTGGCTAAGGAAAGAGACTCTGCGTTTCCCAGACTCACATTCTGAGCAGAAAGGCCCGGGTAGGTGGCCTGGACCCAGGCTGCAGGTTGGAATTACCCAGGGAGCTTTGCACAATCCTCATGTCCGGGCTGCCCTCCAGCCATTAAGTCAGGACCTCCGTGGGCGAGACCAGGCAGCTAAAGTTTCCCCATCTCCCTGTGATTCTGATATGGACTCCAGGCAGTTTACCATGTAGGTTTCTTCATATGTACATGGATGCAACGCAGGGATGATGTGCATTGGCCAGTAACTTGGACATATTTGTATGGGAGGGGCGCCCAGAGCTGCTTAGATGGCTGAGTGTACCTGCACGCAGTAACGTGGGTGCATCTGGGAAATACAGGGCTGAGAGCCAAAGCCAGTCAGCTGCCGCTGCTGTGGACTCCAAGAACAGAAAGCAGTGCACATGCGTGGTGGGGTGACAGTATTGGCATCCATAGCCGTGACTCAAGCACGGACTTCCGTGGTTACTCCTGGAGGGTGCGGGGGGGAGGTGGGGCGAGGATAGTGTGCACTGGATTTGAAGTCATTTCTTTCTATTAAAAATAGGCGTGAAACAAGAACCCTTTACAAGAACAATTTCCCTTACGTGGGATACGAACCAGAAAGCAACAAATGGACTCGTCAACACAGACACCCATGGGATGGTGGTCAGGGAGGAAGGGGGCAGGACGAGGATGACGAGGCTAAAGGGGTTCAGACATATGGGGACAGAAGGAGGCTCTAGACTCCGGGTGGTGAGCGCACAGTGGAACACACAGGTGATGCCGTGCAGAATTGTGCACCCGAAACTCACGTGTTATTAACCACTGTCACCCCGTACATTTAAGTTTTTAAAAGATATGAAAGAGAAGGGAATGAATGAAAGATAGGAGGGAGGGAGAGAGGGAGAAATTGGGCTCTCCAAAGAAATTTCAATCGTTGTACTGTTGATATTTGGCTCTGTGGACTCATGAGTTTGCCGACCACTGGGCTAGACGTTAGTAAGACCAGAAAGGGCTAAAATGACCAGCTAAACAATGATTCCAGAGGAGGATGACTTCCTTCCACACCGGAATGTTTCACTCGCCGTGACCAGAGCATCCTGGCAGCCTGACCCCCGCGGGCCTGTGCGGGCTGAGGTCAGGGCTCCCATGTTACATGTAAAAGAGAAGAGAGGCACCTGCAGAAGCAGCAGCAAGTTCAGAGGCGCTGGGGGCACAGCTCCGGGCTCCTGCTCCTGCCCAGGTGTCTGGGAGCCCCGGGCCACAAGGGAGAGACCCCCTCTGCCCGGGGGTGCCCTGAGCCCCCCGCCCCCAGGCGTTGGGGTGGGGCCCCCAGGCGTTTGGGTGGGGCGCCTTGGCTGTGTTTCTGTTGGGGTTCGCCGGCTCCTTCTCCCCAGGGCCCTGCCCTCCCGGGCCCCCTCCCTCACACTCGGGGGAGCGTGAAGCCATCGCCTGCCTGCATCCTGTGGCGTCGGGCGCCGCAGCTGCGGGATGTGAGTCACGGCCAGGCCTGCCGGGCCTGCAGGTGTGTGCTGGCTGCACAGCCATGTTCTCGGCAGGAAAACATGGAACCGACGGCTCGCTCCCAGCAGGGCCAGCGCCCAGGCAGGGCGGCGATGTACCTGTGCTTCCTGTCCCATTCTGTCCATTCAGGATTTTGTGTAAATACTGTTTTGGATCTTTTTAGAATCTATAATTAGCATCTTTCTGACGTGTGCTGCTAACTCATAATTTCCTATACAGATACCGGTCGTGTTCTAAGGACGTGTTCCGTTTATTCCCATTTATTTTAAGCAAAAAGGTTAAAGTGAATGTAAATGGAGACAGGGAATACCTGCCCCCATCCCTGCAGGAAACGTCAGAGTATCCGAGCAACGGCAGGGCAGGGAGGAGGGCTAGACTTCCAGAGGAGTTCATGCTAAGGACAGGGATCCGTGTGTGTGAGCCAGCGGGTGTTTCTGTCTTCCCCCGACACATTCTCTCTGACCTGTCCCAGAGCCTGGCTGCAGGCCCTCACCTGTCCTGGAGCCTGACTCAAGGTCATGACCTGTGCAAGAGCATGGTTCAAGGTCATGTCCTATCCAGGAGCCTGGCTCCAGGCCCTGCCCTGTCCCGGAGCATGGTTCAGGGTCATGGCCTGTCCTAGAGCCTGGCTACAGGCCCTCGCCTGTCCCAGAGCCTAGTTTCAGGCCCTGACCTGTCCTGGAACCTGACTCAAGGTCATGACCTGTCCGAGAACATGGTTCAAGGTCGTGCCCTGTCCCGGAGCCTGGCTCCACCCCTGTCCCCGCCCCAGAAATGCACCTCCAGGAGCTGACCTAGCGCGTTTCCCTCCCCCCTCAGATCCCACGCTGTGGAGCACGGACCACGTGCGGCAGTGGCTGGAGTGGGCCGTGAAAGAGTATGGCCTTCCGGACGTCGACGTCCTGCTGTTCCAGAACATCGACGGCAAGGAGCTGTGCAAGATGACCAAGGACGACTTCCAGAGGCTCACGCCCAGCTACAACGCCGACATCCTTCTCTCCCACCTCCACTACCTCAGAGAGAGTAAGCGGGCCCCGCTCCGGACCCGGCCTGCGGGTGTGGCTCCTGTTCACGTGGGCTGCCCAGGGCTCCGTCCAGCTCACCCACGGCACCTTTCGGCCCTAACACAGTCCCCAGAGAGCGTCTGAGAGAGCGGGCCGCTTAGGTGGCGGTGCCGTAGGCCAGTCAGTGGTCAGCAAACTCATCCGTCCACAGAGCCAAATACCAACAGGACAACGATTGAAATTTCTCTGGAGAGCCACATTTTTTAAACTTAAACTTCTTCTAACGCCACTTCTTCAACACAGACTCGCCCAGGCCGTGGTATTCTGTGGAAGAGCCACACTCAAGGGGCCAAAGAACCGCAGGTGGCTCGAGAGCCGCAGTTTGCTGACCACGGCCGTAGGCGAACTCAGGCTGAGAAGTCCTCGGTGTGTTTCGAGGAAGCCTGAGAGTCACCGTAGCACTCAGCTGCCTCCTGCAGGGTCCCCTGGGCCGAGAAGTCCTAAGGGACAGGAAGCTTTATCTGGTCACGGTACCTTGCCTCCACGGTGCCCCAGTGAGCTGGAGACCTGGCAGGGCTCCCGGAGGACGGGGTGTAGGGACTGATCCTCCTTCATGGCAAACCAGGCCCCCTTCCCACCCCACGTCCCCGTGTGAGGGGTCTCCCCCTGGCCTCAGGAGATGTGGCTTCTTCGGGACCGTACGGAGCGGGGGGCGCGGTGGGGTGAGAGGCGTGGACCACAGTCTGCTGCATGCTCTCGCTCCTCAGACGGCGGGCCTGGTGGGGGGACGAGCACAGTGCGAGCGTGGGGTGGCGGAACCGCTGGGGTGAACGCTTTGCCTGGCACCCCCACCACTCACTCCCTGGTCACGTGGGGCCCCGTCTAAGTTTTAACACGCTAACCAGTCAGGCTGTGAGAGACGGCCAAGCAGCCGAGGCGGTAGGATCGGTGGTGGTGGTGGTGATGGGGGCGGGGGGGTGTTCTTTTCTTTCTTTTTTTCTTTTTAAGGAAGGTAATCCTCTCCCTTCTTTCATCTTGACGTTGCTGTTTTGTTTTGTAGCTCCTCTTCCGCATTTGACTTCAGATGATGTTGATAAAGCCTTACAAAACTCTCCGCGGTTAATGCATGCTAGAAACACAGGTAATGCTGCCCCGCCCCTGCCGGCCAGGGGCTCCCGCAGGTGGAGTGTGGGCCCATCGGTGCGTCCGCAGGGCAGAGGCAGAGGCAGAGGTGGACGCACAGTGAGGGGTTCTGACAGGTAGGAGGCGCTGTGCTGGCTGTCGTCCCCAAGAGCATGCCTGATCCAAAGGGGCCCTTAGCATATCTTTTCTTTTTCTATTTTTATTCTTTGAGGAATGTGGACTAGGACAAGCAGGAGTTTTATTTTCTCCTCTGGGGGTTAATCTCAGGCCACCGTCAGGCTGCTCGTCTTTCTAGCTCAGACTTCCAGCCCCGTGAAAGGCGGTCGGAGGGCACGGCGGTGTTTTTGGCCAGGGTCTGTTGAGAGGGACACGGTGTTGGGATTTCGGAGGCTGTGATACGAGTTACTAACCGAGGATCTGCTCTCCTGTCTCTAACCATGGAGCCTACCTTTTATTTGTTTATTTTTTCCTGAGCCCAGTAGCATGTAACATAGTGCTTCTTCCAGGCTAACTTCCCTCCATCACTCCCTCCCCTCATCACAGAGGCTCCGAGAATGGGCTGAGGTTCCTGCCCATGAATGTGCCCAAAGTTGGGGTCCCTTTCCCCCCTCCTGGGGGGACAGCAGCAGGAGCATGGCCATGCCCCCTCACTGTTCAGCTTGCAGGACCCTCTGCCACCCCCCCCCAGGCCCAGGTTGGGGGTAAAGTAGTGAGGGTGAGGCTTAGGTCACCCCTATAAGCAAGCAGGGCAACTCAGGGTCAGCCCTCACGCAGAAACACAGCCATGTTCCGAATACTTGCCGTTTTATTTTAAAATATTCAGGTTTGAGTATCACCATGAAATTGCCACTTGATCTTGGTGTTCAGGACATTGTATTTTTAAGCTAAAGAAAAAAAAAAAAAAAGTTTTGTTTAGGATACTTTCCCCATGTAGGTTACACTCTAATATTAGCTTAGTAATGACCTTGTGGCCAGAAATCACAAATAACTTAATTTCCCCCCTCTTAGGAAACACCTTTGAGTGACATGTGTTTTGTGATCGTTTCATGGTTATTTAAAAACTGGAAAAGTTTTAAGACATCGCTGATGTCATTGCTTTTGTTATCGTTAAACGTAGAAGCAATCAAAGACTGGGACACCCACCCCCGCATGGACTGAGCCCAGAAGAGGGAACATCTCCTGCTAACTTAACACACGTTGACTGAGAGACAGAGAGGGAAAAGAGGCATTTGAGAGGAGATGTAGATTCATCTCTACACTAATAAAAGAGAAAGATGCAAATTGACCACACCTTTGCAATACCCACCAGCCAATCAGGAATGAGTATGCAAATTATCTGAACAAAGCTGGTGGGTTAATTTACATACACAGGCTCCAAGTGGCAGGGGACGGGATGCAGGCATTCTGCACCGTCTCAGCCTCTCCAGGCCTCTGGGCGGCATGGTAAGGCAGAAAAGCGGCGCTGGCTGGAGCAAAGGCTGTGCCAGCAGCCAGGGAAAGAAGGCCCATTCTTGCACAAATCTTTGTGCATCGGGCCTCTAGTTTTTAATAAGATCCATATAGTCTTTGGCAAAATACAGTTCTTTGCGACTGCTTTCCAGGGGCTCTAGAATATTATACTTTCTTTGAGAGCACAATTTCAAAACTAAAACACCCCCCCTTCCCATAGGATTTTTAAAAATAAATAAAAATTGCTGGGCATGTGGCGGGGGCACCGGGATGGCCTTCAACAAGAAGCTGTAAAATCACAACGCAGGCACCTGCCCACCCGTGGGGCCCAGAGGGTCCCATGTCCGCTCCCAGCTCCAGGATCTGCCTCTGGCCCAGGCAGCGGCCTTTCCTGCCGGGACACGCTGCACAGGGCCCCCAGCCCCTGCTCCCTGTCGCCGGGCATGGCAAGCCAGGCGCTGCCGCGGAGATGGACCTGGGACATGTCCGAAGACCTTCACTTGTTTGTCTCTCCTTTTGTCTGCAGGGGGTGCAGCTTTTATTTTCCCCAATACTTCCGTATATCCCGACGCTACGCAAAGAATTACAACTAGGCCAGGTACGGAAACACCCCTGTGCGCTGTGCTCCCTGCCACCCGGGACGGCCCGGGCCACGCGATCCCGAGAGAGAGCCAATCGATCCTGGGCCCGAGGGGCCCTGCACAGTCTGCTGGGGCCCCTGGGGGTTTGGAGCCTAAGGTCACTCACAGGTCACACTCCTCAGGGCACCTCTAACCCTGGGGGATGAAAGGCAGATCAGCCCCGTCCTGGGAGCCGGGCGGGCAGAGACGCACTGGGAGGGTGCCCGGCAGGCAGGAGCCTGCCCGCTTCTGAGGTCACTGCCCGTCTGAGGGTCAAGGTTGCTCCTCGGGGAACAGCCCGGGCAAGAGGAATTCCCCTGACACCCATCCTTTTCCTACACATCAGCATCCAGAGCAGCCCCTCCCCACTCCTAGGAGGTGGTACCGTGGAGACACATCACTTACATTCCATTGTTGTACGTGTTTCACGTGTTCCTCGTGCTGTCAGTCATCAGCATCAGAAACCCTCTCCCCGCCCTCCCTTCCCTGCCGGGTGCCTGCCTCTGGAGCCACGGCCCTCGTGGTCTCAGCTGGCGTGGACAGAGACGGGTCTGATGCCTAGGAACTTGGAGGCTGGTTTCTGACCGCGTGCCACCCCGCCTGGCATCTTAGGGGCAGTTTGTGTGAAAGCTCTCCTGTGTGCCAAGGAGGACGTTCTGTAACCCCCTCCTGCCCTCCTCCATCGCCATGGCAACTCGGGCATCCTGATGTTATCAAAAGAGAGTGGCAGCTGAGCCTGCAAGTGCAGCCTTGACTTTCACTTCCCATAGGGTTTCACTGCCCTTCAGGATTTCTTGGAATTGTGAGTTGCCCCTCCCTCTGAGTTGGCAGCAGGAGGCACAGCCAGACAGTGGGGAACCCTCTCCCCTGGCGGGTGCTTTGGAAAGCCCGGATCTTAGCGAATGGCTAAGCACGCATTCTTGGCTTTTCCATGGCTGTACTGCACCCAGAGGTCTGCACACCCAGCTGGGGGCGGGGAGGGGGGGAGGGGGGTAAAATGCCCCAGCTCCCCATGTTTTTGGGGGCGGTTTGAAGGCTGTGGAAATGTCTGGAGGAAAACAGGAGGGCAGCTTCATCCTCTGGATCTTCCTCCCATGAAACCTGGGTAGAGTGGTTGGTTCCCGCAACAGCTCTGTCTCCCTGCCTTTGCCTTTGGCCTCTGAGTTCATCTGGAGCCAGCGAGGCCGTCCTTCCCCTGCAGCCCAGCAGGGCCACATGGGGTGGGCCCTGCAGAATGAGGGGGCCCCTCCCACAGTTCCGGCTCTTGGGAAACTAAGTGGGAGGGCGGAAGTCAAAAGGGCAAGAGGGCGGTTCTTCCGAGGGCCAGAGGGAGGAGCCTGTGAGCTGGGGGAGGCCAGCTCTGCAGGAAGGGAACTGCAGGAAGGGCCGGAGGATGCTGTCCTGGTTGCTTGGTGTCCAGGGAGTGGGGAGGAGGCTCTTTCAGAGCCAGGAACCCATCCCAACTGCCAGCAAGTACCCAGTGATGGGGGTGTGGATCCTGGCACATGTATGCTCTCTGCAACCCTGAGCTGCCTGTGTAATGGGGTTTAGAAAGCTTGGTTTTTACCAGAAAAAAAAACAAAAACACAAAAAACAAACAACAACAACAACAAAAATCACAGCCAGATCGCTGCTAGAAACCCACCTTCCCCAAGCAGGCCCTTCTGCCGAGACTTAGTCGCTTCGAAGGCCAAGGCTGGGGAGGCGTGGAGAGTGGACTGGTGCCCCCTGAGATGGAGCGTGCACAGATCCGGGTGCCAAGCCCTGCTGCCGTCCCTGAGGGCAAGCAGCCCGAGTGCAGGGAGCGGCCATTCTGCAGTAAATTGCTGGCCTCTGCCCCGAGGGTGGCGAAGGTGCTGCTGGTCCCGACACACCCCTGAGGGGGGTGGTGACCTGGGCACCCTCAGCTGTGATCGGCAGCTGATAAGGCTGCCTCGGGCCAGGATGTCACAAAAGCAAACAAAGCTGCTTATCTTCCCTGGTCACATGTTTGCGAACATACCAGTCCTTGGTCATGGGAACATGGCAGATTCTTGGCTAAAGGCCAGACCTGGTGTCTTTTAGGTCCTGACTTATTTTCAAGAGAGAATGGGCATGGTGCCACACCCTGAGGAGGGTTTTATGGGGGAGGGGGGGTAAAAAAGAGTCTCAAAAATATTTCTCTCTTAGTAGTTTGGTGTTTAATTTTTTCCAGCTGCAATACTTTTTTTTCTTTATGTTTAAAATAGCAGCGAACTAACCTACTGACACTTGCTATTCATTCTATGAGTGATCTTCTAGCTCAGATACAACCATCCGATCTAGACCTCTTTGCACATGCTCCTTTCTCTGTGTGGCCACTCCCGGGCAGGGCCTCTGGGTGACGGGCTGTGGAGCAGAGCATTCTGAATGGGCTGGGAAATGCCCGGAGCTGGCATCCTCGGTGTCCGTGTGCCCCGCCCCAGATCCTGGTAAACTCGGGTTCCGGAAGAGTCCACCTGCAGAGAGATTCTGACCCTCTCACCAGCTCCCAAACGTTGCCCTTGTGGCTGGCCTGCGGGCCGCACTGGGAGATACGAGGGTCTATTATAGAATGTACTTCTGCAGCGTGTCCCCCCAAAATGTGTCCGCACTGTAACAGCCGACAGCTCCATGTTGAAAATGAAGTGTATTTTAAAAACACGGCTTTTATAAGTATTCAAAGTGGGTGGATGTAATTCTGGGGACACCCTCCATATTGCCTTGTTTCAGCGTTTGGTACCCAGAGCCCCTGGGGTTCCCAGCGCCCAGCCCCGTGCCCTCCATCCCAGGACACAAGCAGGGAGGACGGCCTGGCTGGTAGACCTGTCTTTTGTTCTGAACCAGCTCTCACGTGGCAACACTGGCTAACGAACCATTTTCCAGACAAAATGCAACGGGGTGAGCATTCCTAGGCAAAGCGCTCCCAGAAACTTAAGCTGGCATTCCGTCCGCTGTAAACGGATACCGGGTGCCGGCGTAATCCCCGCGGCTCACCAGCCCCGACACCAGGAAACTGAGACTGGGAGCCGGTGGGAGAGCCGGCGTCGGTGCCAGCCGACAGGGAGTGGCGGGCTGTGGCCGAGGGTAGGGTTTCTGCGACCCCCCCTCCCCCAAGGAAGCGTGCAGCCAAGCAGGCCGAGGAAGGGGCGGCCGCTCCGTGCCGACCACTTTGCGTCTCACTGCCTGTCTCTCTGGGGTTGGAAATGGGGAGAGACAAGTCTTCCGCAGCTCGGTCCAGCTCTGGGGAGACCGGCCCTCCACACGGCCAGTTTTAATGCAGTAAAGCGAGCTGTCTGAAGCGAGGCTTAGGGGTAAAGTGAGCTGTTTGAAGCCAGGCTTAGAACCAGCCGCCCCCCAGGTGCCAGGCAGCCAAGACGTTCCCGGACATCTGGCTGCGGCTTCTCCTTGGCCCGGAATGACCCGTGGCCTTGAGCTGAGGCCCTTCGGTCCAAGAAGAAGTAGTTTTTTTGTTTGTTTTTTTTTAAAATGGCTCTGGACTAAGGTGGAGGGAGGCAGTAGCAGCTTTCCATGTGCACAGTTGGAGCGCACGTTAACGGTGTCCCGGGGATATGCTTTTGAAAGAAACTTACAATGACTTAGAGTCTTCTTAGCCGTTGCTAGAACTCGCACAGAGGATGCAGGGGTGGGTATTAAACGGGCATGTGCGAAGTGCATGACGATTGTTGGGGCAAGGGATCTCACGTGATGCATGCCGAGGGATTATCGGGCTCATGGCTGACACGGGGTGGGGACGCTGCCCTCTCAGCCTTGCCATTTATGTCATGCAGCGTATTTTGGAGAAATTCTAAATCCAGTTCGAGAAGAAGGAAGAGGGGACATCTGCCTAGAAAAAGGAGACAGTTAAGAGTGATTCAACATAAAAGGCTGAGATTAGAGAGAAAGTGAGGGGTGGCTGAGAGGGGCAGCCGGCGAATATGGATAAGAAGCAGAGCTCATTCCACGGAAGAAAACGGAAAAGGAATGCCAGCATGGTTTGGGGGGCGGAGATGCAGGCCTCGGGCAAGCACTGGCTGATGCGTCAGAGTTGTGGGCTGGGTTTCGGATGGTCTTAGTGATTTTAAAAAAAGGGCTGGATACGGGTCAGTGCCCTTGGGGTGCAGGTCAGTTCGATGGGGAGAAATGTTCAACGTGGCCATGACCTGTGGTGGGAGGAGAGTCGAGGCTCTGGGGAATCTGTCAGCGGGGGTTGCAGGTTAACGGGTAGAAATGTTAATCACTAAAAGGCACAAATTTATCATTTGCAAAGAAAACCCGAATCCAATGGGATCCAGGTTGAACATTTCTTTGGATTTCTGGCTTTTTTTTTTTGCACAATATTTATTCAAATAAACGCAAAGCAAAAAGCATAGAAGATACCTGTGGTAAAAGTAAATGATTGATCTCTTAGTCAATGTATTTGTCTTTATAGATTTACCTTATGAACCACCCAGGAGATCAGCCTGGACCGGTCACGGCCACCCCGCCCCCCCGTCGAAAGGTACGGTGTTGCTGAAGCTGATCTGTGCTTTTCCAACATGGAATGTGTTCTTCCCGTTGGCAAGGCAGGCACAACTGGTCCTCAGAGGCAGCGATTCCCTGTTGGGGTCACACCCACTCCCCCACACACAGAAAAGACTGGTGTCATGGACGCCCATTCCCACCCACGCGTGCCTCCCAGGACCGCTGCGTATAGCCTACACGCTGAGCGGTTTCGAACCTCGGCCATGTTTATAGTGCCCCTTGCTTTATTTCATTTTCCTGATCATTTCCCTTTCACTTATTTTAGACTGCGATTCTTTTAAATCTGTTTTGTACGCCATCTCAGATTCTTTTCTTTCGGAAAAAGGGGGTACAAATACATTTTTGAGATAATACAGAGTGCTCTTTTTTTCTCTCTCTACAATGGGCATTTGGTTTCATGAGGAAAGAAATGTTCCCTTCCTGTGAGACGTTTCTTACTATAAAAGGGAGGCTGTTGCATCACCGAGGTAGTTGATGGGACGATGCTACCACAGCACGCAAGATGAGTGGCCCCACGCAGGTCCCAGCTAACCGTCTGCCTTGTTCCCTCCCGTCCAGCTGCTCAGCCGTCTCCTTCCGCGGTGCCCAAGTCCGAAGACCAGCGGCCTCAGCTAGGTATGTGTCCGGGGCCCCGTGGCCGTGAGGGAAGCAGCAGGTTGGGTGGCATGTTTCTAAAATGTGTCCTTTTCTCCACGAGACTCATGCTGCTCTGTCTTCTTCACAACAACTGCTTCCTGTGTCAGTCGGGGACGGAATGATCCGTCTCCTCGGCCAGGAGGACTGGGCAGTTGGTTAGAACATCTCCACAGTCTGCTCAGTGAATGTGGAAGTAAACATCAGGGTGTCTCTGTGTGACCCACGAGTTCTTTTGATTTCACCTTACTGTCCAGACACGCCCAAACTGGTGCCACCTGGTGCAGCAGTGCCCACACGGGTGCCCTGTCTACACAGCAGCGCAATGGGAGTCCATGTTCCCAGTGATGCTATTACTATGGCCCACATGGACATGGCCGACTGGGGACGTAACTCACATACCCTGTTTGCGTCCCGGGTGGAGAGAGCACGGGGTCAGTGAACCCTGGGCCGAGTCAGAGCTCAGCCAGACGAGGAGGCGCTGAGCAAGACACTTGACTTAGCTCCCCAGGGAGGTCTTACCTGACACAGGGGTGATGCCAGGTGACACGTCCAGCTCTGAGGCCGGGGAGCACAAGGCGGTCAGGAGAACGCCCACAGTGCCATCCCCGCGTCACAGCTGAGTCTCCGGGGTCTGACTCTCCTTTCTTTTCTCTGTAGATCCTTATCAGATCCTTGGGCCGACGAGTAGCCGCCTTGCAAACCCAGGTGAGAGACAGCTGGTGTGGCTGCTAACCTTTACGGCAGTGGCTGTTGTGAGAGACACGTTGGCAAGGGTGACCGGTTCCTCCCACGGAACCCGTCCCAGGGTTAGGTCTCGCTGGATGAGTCGCCCAAGTGGAAAAATACGGGTCGGGTTATAAATGAAGATTTCAGCTCCCACAAAAGAACACCATGACCCCATCCACACTGCCTGAATTTCCCGGGATCACTAGAAAAAGGGCCACGGAGGGGGACAGAGGCTTAGACAACAGATGTTTCCTGTGTCCGTTTTGAAGGACGACGTCCAAGGTCAAGGTGTCCGCAGGGCTGGTTCCTTCTGAGGTTCCTGAAGGAGGGACCTGGTGCGGACTCTCTCCTTGGCTTGTAGGCGGCAGCCTTTTGCCTGCGTCCTTTCTCCCGTCTTCCCTCTGCATGGGTCTCTGTTCCCAGCGTGGTCACCCTCTCCTACCAGCATGGTCACATCGGAGCAGGGTCACCCCGATGACCTCACTTTCACTGGATCACCCCCGGAAAGACCCCGTGGCCAATGAGGCCACATGCTGAGGTTGGGGGGGGGGGGTTAGGACCCCAACATGTGAATTTGGGGAAGAGGGGGATGGCACAACTCAACCTATCACACAAGCAGGTAAATCCTATTTCAGAAAGGAGAATGCTACTTGCAACCCTACGATTTCACATTCAGGGTTATCTTCAGCACGGTCTGTCTCTCCACTTGCATGCTGGGAGAAAGGGCGGGTTCTTACCTGGGCTTAGGCCCCACCAGCCCATCACTCCGCGCTCTGGAAAATAAATCCCCCATCACTTCCGGTGCTAGCTCTTCCCACAGCTCGCACTTTGGAGTGGAGGATGACATCACGTAGCATGGATGCCCAGGCGATGTCAGCGTCCCGCTGCCTCTGCCCCCGGCGTTCGCTGGTGTGCGCTTGGCCCGTGTACCTCCTGCTGGGCAAGGTGTGCCCTGGGTTACCATGGGGACCCGCTGGCTCCTCTGTCCGTCAGGTTTGGGTAGACGCCGAGTATTCTTTAGGCCGCGTGGGAAGGGCTGTGTGTGTCTACAAACCTGAGGAGTCGCCCTTCGCGGGAGGAGGCCCACTGAATATTTATTTTCAGATGCTTCCCTGTTTATCCCGAAGCATATGTCAGATGGCTGAGTCAGAAATCCACGTTCTCCTCCAGCCCCAGGTCCTATGTGGGTGTTTCTCCCCCCCCCCCCAAGTATTAATCCTTCGGTTACAATATATACACTAAAACCATATGGTTCTCCCGCCCCACCCTTGGTGTGTGAGTTTAAATGCATATTAATGAGACGTTGGGGGCAAGAAGGCTTGATTGAGAACAGTCTGTGGTCCCGAGAAAGCACAGGCTCCCAGGGCGACGCCCTACTAATACCTTTCACATGTGTGGCGGGACCGGCCGCCATCGCCTTGGGGACGCAGCCAGGAGAGGCCGGCCTTTCTCACGGAGCTGGCGGGGGGGGGGGGGGGGGGGGGGCTCACAGACGTGGCACGCGTGGGAACAGGAGTTGCGAGCCGGGCCGCTTATACAGGGAGCTGGTGAGAGGACTAGAGTGAAAAATTTGTAATTGAGGTTCACGTGACATCGGTTTATTGAGTGGCTTGCCTGTCAAAGCGGGTTCTCGCTGAGAGTATGATAAAAGGTGGTGGTCGTGGCCGCTGTCGCTGGGAGTCTAGCAGAAAGGCCCTGCTTCTGACGCACTTTCGGAGAATCTAACATCTGTCGGACACCCTGGGTCGCTCCGGGCACTCCGTGTGACTGTCAGCATTTCATGCTTCTCCCCTCAGCGAGCCATGAGTCAGCTTAAGGTATGGTGACATCGTGGTGAGGATGTTGTGCCCGATTTGTTTCTGAATTTATTTATTTTTAAAAAATATATTTTATTGGTTTTTACAGAGAGGAAGGGAGAGGGAGAGAGAGTTAGAAACATCGATGCGAGAGAAACATCGATCAGCTGCCTCCTGCACACGCACACACACACACACACCCCGCTCCCGCTGAGGGTGTGCCTCCAACCAAGGTTCCTGGGATCGAACCTGGGACCTTCAATCCGCAGGCTGACGCTCTGTCCGCTGAGCCAAACCAGTACGGCTGTCTCTGAATTTAAGAAAACATAAAAGCTGCATCTCTGAAAGCAGTTCGAGCGCACACGTGGCTTCCGTCGCCTCAGGCTGGGAAGGGGTGCGCTGGTTTGAAAGGGGCCAGCACTTCAAACTTCCTTATTGCAAGTGGGCGCGTTCTGTGCTAGGCAAAGTTTGGACAGAACAGCTTTCCGAGCGCCAGCGAAATGTTATGTTAGAAATAATGGTGTTTACTTCCATCATCCTCTTACTGTTTTTTCCATAAACTCTTTAGGGTTCATTTCTGAAACCTAACTTCTGTTATTTTACTTGGCCTGGCCAGTATAAATGGCATTAAGTTATTATCGCCTTCCTCACAAAGGCACATTCTGCCTCACCACATGGGAAAAATGGGCCCCCCCCCCCCCCCCCGAAAACATTGACTTGACCTGGCTGTTCTTCTAAGAAGTCAGGAATGGACGGGACCAGCCCGCCCTTCACCCACCCCATAGGAATTCCCTGTGTCCTAGGAAGGACTTGTGTTTGTGACCAGACCAATAGTCAGCAAGGGCCATTGTCCTAGGGCAGGTTCCCTGGACTCAGAGCTTGGGATAAGGATGCTTGTGTGTGTGACTAGCTACGGGCATGTTCGAGGGAGAGAGGGAAGGAGGGAGCAGGACAGGGCAGGGGAAGAGGACACTGGGGCCCTAGTGGACCCCTGCTCCAGTCTGATCACAGGGAACCTCGGGAGCATGAACAGCATCCCGGACCGTGCCCCTCCCTGGGGCACGGGGGCCCATCTCCCTCCGTAGCCTTGGTCTGTCCCTCTGGCGCGCAGGCTGCCGGGAATGGGCCAGGCCGCTCCTGTCCAACCACGGGCAGTTATCAATAGGACAGGAGAGGCCCCGGCATCTGAGGGACAGGTGCTGGCCTGGGAAAAGGGCCCCGGGTGCCCAGTACCACCCCCTTGTCACTGAAGATAGGCCACCCCTCTGTGCGCCCGCCCTCACTGGCCTGTGTTTCCTGTGTCCCCCCACAGGGAGCGGGCAGATCCAGCTCTGGCAGTTCCTCCTGGAGCTCCTCTCCGACAGCTCCAACTCCAACTGCATCACCTGGGAGGGCACCAACGGGGAGTTCAAGATGACGGACCCGGACGAGGTGGCCCGGCGCTGGGGCGAGCGCAAGAGCAAGCCCAACATGAACTACGACAAGCTCAGCCGCGCGCTGCGCTACTACTACGACAAGAACATCATGACCAAGGTGCACGGCAAGCGCTACGCCTACAAGTTCGACTTCCACGGCATTGCCCAGGCCCTGCAGCCCCACCCGCCCGAGGCCTCGCTCTATAAGTACCCCTCGGACCTGCCCTACATGGGCTCCTACCACGCCCACCCGCAGAAGATGAACTTTGTGGCGCCCCACCCGCCGGCCCTCCCCGTGACCTCCTCCAGTTTCTTCGCCGCCCCGAACCCGTACTGGAACTCCCCCACCGGGGGCATCTACCCCAACACGAGGCTGCCGGCCGGCCACATGCCGTCTCACCTGGGCACGTACTACTAGAGACCCGGGAGCGAGAGAGGCCTTTCCCAGGAGCACACGGGCGCCGGGACAGACATTGCCACACACTCTATTGGAGACCAGGAATCAAAACAAAACCAAAACCAAAAAAAAAAAAAAAAAAAAAAAAGTGCCTCAAGAGGAAGGAGAAAGCTGGGTGGGGGATGGGGAAGGAAGCCAGGGACCAGATCCAAAGACTCTCAGCGGGAGGGAATGCCCAAAGTATTACCACGGAAACCAAGCGGATGCTAACCCCGGGGACGTCTGCACGGACCCGGAACCCGTGGGCCAACCTTGTAACAGACATTGTAGGCAGAAGCATGAGGTCACAGGACACGGCGCCAAAGAAAAAAGCGGTCCGAAGACGTGTGTGCCCTTCGGAGTCCAGGATCCCCGCTCGTGCACACCGGGATCGAACCAAAGCAATCCAGAAAGCACAGTCTTTTCTAAATACAGAAAACTACCTGTGTGTCAAAACAGAAACATATCAAACACAACACAGAACCAGCAACAAAGGGGAGAAAAAAAAAAAAAAGAAAGAAAGAAAGAAAAAAGAGAGACTGTGCAACAGACGTTGACACGGAACTCATCGGCGTCTGCTGTTGCGGGTGAAATCAGATTCATTCCATTTGACGGAGGGCGGTCAGCTCTCCCAAGCTGTGAAGACGACCCAGAGTTCCCAACTCCTTTACAGGATTCCAGGGACCGGGAGCCGGGGCGCGGGACTGAGCACGTGCGTGGTGGAGAGAGCGTGGATGCAGACGAGGGCTGGAGGATGAGCAGGCGGGTGGGAGGGGAGAGGCCGAGCCGGAGCAGGCGGACTGGGCGGGAGCCCGAGCAGGGCAGGCTGGACGGGGGACGGTGTTGGGACTGCGGAGAAGGCATCTCGGGGACTCGCAGTTGAATGCGGTCAGTGCCAGGCCAAAGCCAGCGAGAGGGAGGACGTGGCGGAACGGAGCGAGGGGCAGTGGTGGGATTCAGACACGGAAATATGCATCTCTTTTTTTTTTGTTTGTTTGTTTGTTTGTCCAAAGAAAAATTGTAACTGGAATTGTCTGATATTTAAAAGAGTTGTTCGGGACGGCATGGCTTCCTGGGGGCTCTGTTCCCCGGGGGAAGGGAGGGGGGGGTCGGCGATAGACGCTCTGGGCTCCCATATCACCGGCTCCGGGGTTCCCTTCGAGTCGCGAACGCTGTGCGTTTGTCAGAATGAAGTATCCAAGTCCATGCGGTCCCGCCCCCCTTTTTTTTTATATAATAATTATATAACTTATGCATTTATACACTACGAGTTGATCTCGGCCAGCCAAAGAGACATGACCCAAAGAGACAATCAGCGATCGGACGTGGCCTTGACGTTTCACTCTGTATGCTTAATGTTTACAATACGAAGTTATTAGTTCTTAGAGTGCAGAATGTATGTAATAAAACAAGCTTGGCCTCGCGCGGCCGGTTGGATTCACCCCGCGTCCGCGTTCGCACTTCTTTGGTGACTGAGGACGTTGCCTGAGAGAAATTCGGGTGGTGGTGCATCTCGTGTTATAATCTCACGTGTGGGAGGGAGAACCACCCAGCTGGGATGTTTGGCGCCCAGACAGCGTGGGCTCCCCGCCCTTCTTGCCCACTCTCCCGTATTCCCAGGCCCAGAAGGACCAGAGGCTCCCCCCACCCGGGGCCTCCACACCCGTGCCCCAAGTGGAAAGGGGCCGCGACGCTGAGGTGGTCGCTGATACATCCCAGGTTAATCACCTTGACTTCACTTTGTGGTCACAAAACATCTGTCCAAGGGGGAACAAGCTATTGCTCTCAGGGCAAACTATAACTTTTTAAAATATATAAATATATATATTACTGATTTTTTTTTTTTACAGAGAGGAAGGGAGAGGGATAGAGAGAAACATCAATGAGAGAAACATCGACCAGCTGCCTCCTGCACATCCCCTACCAGGGATGTGCCCGCAACCCATGTACATGCCTTGACTGGAATCGAACCCGGGACCTTTCAGTCCGCAGGCCGATGCTCTATCCACTGAGCCAAACCGGTTTCAGCAGGGCATACTGTATTACTGTTGGTGTCAGAGACAGCTGCGATCCCTCGTTTTAAAGAAACAGGACAGCTTCTCAATTTTCCACTCGCCTTTTCTCTCTGAGGATCTCGCCAGGTAGCCTGTGGCCTGGATCTTCCCGCCACGGCGTTGTCTGGGTGCCTCGGTGTGGGCTTCATCGGCCCGGGCCAGGCCTACTGCCAGCCCTGGCGTATTCCTCTGACCTGAAGTCACTTTCCTTTGACACCCTGGGCCACGGGGAGGGCAGTTTGAGGCGGGACACGAAGCAACATGAGGAGAGGAAGCTGAGCTGATGGCTTCTCAGCCTGCATGGGCCACCACGCAGCCGGCGTGGGGCTTGCTTTTCGCCCCGCAATCCCTGTGCTGTGATGCGGTGAAGTTGCCGGCCTCGGTGGGTGTTTGGCAGTGGTCTTCCAAGTCCGTGGGTTCCATTCGCTTCCTCAGACTCAATCCACCATCAATCATTTTCCAGGGGCCTGGGAAAACCCCCCTGAAGCGGGGGGAGGGGAGAGGAGATAAGGGGGTGATAACGAAAAGCAGGAAAGCTGGCAGCGGGGGACCAGGCTGCTCTGACGGAAAAGATCAGTCATGTCTTCTGGGGTGCAAAGGCAGGCACACCTACATTCCACACAGAAATGCAGATGCACTGGAATAAGCACCCAGGCCCACTCCCTCCGGGCTGTATCGGAGCCAAATAAGAGGACAAGACACGCTGATCACGTTCACCCTCTCAGCTGTTTCCAGTTAGACTCCCCTCCACGCCCACCCCCCATGATTAGCGAGCTTTCTGACACGCCGGGGGACTTTGGATAAGATGATAATGCTGCATCCTCCCAAATAAATCATTCTTAAACTATATCATAAAAGAACGTTGACCCTCGGCCCGCATCACAATGTAGTTTCCAAGCTCTCGCCGACTCATGCTCCCAGCCCCATGGACCCCCGCGCGATCTCGCTTCTGCTGGCAGGACACAGGTCCTCTCTCCTCGTCCCAGACTCGGGGGCTCTTCCGGGAAGCTGCATTCCCCCAAGGCTCAGCCAGAACGTCCCTCCTTCTCCAGGCGATGCTCTGGCTGCATCTCGGAGGGGGTCAAGGCGAGGTCGTGGGTGGGGCTGGTGCGCTTGGAGACCTTATCGTTGTCCCGAAGCCCCTCTTCGCACTGACATCTGGCTGCAGGGCCGGAGGGGGGCCTCGGGTGACAGGTGCAAGACGGACATCTGGCCCTCGGAGCTGGGAAGGTGACGGCAAAGAGGGGGGACACCGATGTCCGTGGGACCCAAGAGGACCTTTAACTGTGTCCTTCAAAAACCTGACTTGACTAGTCTCTCATCACTCGCTTGGTTCTCAGATGACTAGAGAATAAAAAGCACTTTGGATTATGCAAGGGATATCAGGTTCTGTTCCTTCTCTTTATTTTAACCTTGTTTTAATTTTTAAAAATACATTTTTATTGATTTCAGAGAGGAAGGGAGAAAGATCAATGATGAGAGACAATCATTGATCGGCTGCCTCCTGCATGCCCCCCATTGAGGGTCGAGCCTGTAACCCGGGCACATGCCCTTGACCGGAATTGAACAGGGACCCTTCAGTTCGCAGGCCGATGCTTTATCTATTGAGCCAAACCCACTAGGGCTTAACTTGTTTTTTTAAAAAATTTGTTAACATGTATTCATGTCCAATGAGGAAAAGGTTGGATACAGAAATCAAGTCCTGGAGACAATGAGGACCTCCTGATTCATGACAAGCAGTGGCTCTGGGGACATGTGGGAAATGCATATTCTCAGACCCTGCCCCAGACCCCCTGACACTCAGCCCTCAGTTCCAACCCAGCCACTGGCTCCCACAAGCCTGGCAGGTGATTCTGATGCCTGATGGAATTGGAGAGCCGCTGCAATGGAAGAAAAGATGGTCCGTGTCCAGGTATGGAACATTCCGTGTGAAATCTCAATCCCTTGAAGTTTTTTTCTGTGGCCACATGGCAATTGACCATGAGGTTAAGCAGTTACTCTGAAGTGTCATGCCTCCTCTGAGCAACTCTCTTCCCGACCACTAACTGGTCCTGTGTGTATTAGTTACCTACTGCCCAGTAACCAATGAACCTGCACTCCTCAGCATGAAAATCTGGTTATCTCACCGTTTCTGTGGGTCAGGAGTCCAGACACAGCACAACTGGGTCCTCTGCCCGGGGCCTCACAGGCTGAGATGCAGGACTCAGCCAGGACTCTGATCTCATCTGAAGCCGAGATCCTTTCCCCGAGCTCACTGGTTGTTGGCAGAAGTCAGTTCCTTGTGGTTGTAGGACTGACATCCCATTTCCTTACAGGCTGCCAGCCAGGGCTCACTCTCAACTCCTAGAGGCCACCTGAGGGCCTTGCCACGTGGCCTTCTCCAGAGCAAGGCAGTGGCTCCTTCAAGGCCAGCAAGAGACTCTCACTTTGAATCCGACTTCTTTAATGGCTTCTCCTGATTAAGCCAGGTCCACCCAGGATAATCCTTTTATTATTCTATTATTAACTCATCGTCAACATTTAGGGCCTTAATTACATATGAAACATACTTTTACCAGAGAAAATACCCTAGTCATGGGAATCAGACTCCCTCCAGTCACAGGTGCTGCTCACCTTCCAGAGGACTGGGCAGGGCATGTGCACCAGGAAACGGAAATCTGGGGGCCATGTCTGAATTCTGCTGACACACCATGGGTAAGTATATCTTCTAGCATTTTCTAAGCTCCATATACCCGAAGCCCTGTGCTCCACGGCTCCCTCTCTCACTGGCAATGTGGAGCTCTGTGCAAACCAGATGGTCTTTCTCCAAAATGTAAGGACTAATGCCAGCTTCTCAACAGTATTAAGTTTTCTTTTGATTTTGTTAAAAAGCGAGCTCAAGTTAGTTCTATAAGAGACAGAGCTATGCAGACTCTTCTAACTTACAATTTTTACTTTAAACAACTTTATAAAGCAAATAGGGTATATTTACTTTTCTCATAAACATCTTTCACAAAATATTATTCTGGCGAAGCAAGACATACTATCACCTGATTGTGATTTGTGCCAGAACATGTTTAACTACGGACTTACACAGGAAGCATATTAAATGTAAGAACTTTATTTAAAAAATCAGTAAGAGTTCATTTTTTAAAAATGTTTCATGGACACATAATATGCTCCCTAACGAACATGAGACAAAATAGTAGCCAGAACTTAATTTCGAGAGGACTTCATAAAACAGTTGTGAGATTTTACAAGGTCATGACTGGCTGATTGGACATGGCCAGAGGACAGACTAACGATCAACACCCATCAGGAAGGGAAGTCCAGCAAGAGCAAACCCAGTGGAGAGACAAGGGAAGTGAAGGCACCCATCCTAGGCCCTGGAGGAATAGCTGAAGGACTGTCTGGTGCTCCCACTGGAAGCAAGACTACATTTATGGTCCATCAGCCCAGGACCCAGCATGTCCTGGGCTGATGGACCATATGAAGCTACCAGGACATGTCTTCATGTGTGTGCA